ATTTTTGTATTCATGAATTTCCATCTTTGAAACTCGTCTTCCATAATTCAAATGATTAGTCCTCAATCTTCTATTCGGTTTAGTCTGTTTAACCCATACTTTTCTTCCTCTTTTTCTCTTTTGTCTCTTTGCCTTTTTTTTCTTCTGAAGCAACTGTGGTGACTTTTTTTACATCTTCTTTTTCTAATACAAGGTCTGCTGTATATTTTGTCCAATCTATATCTATCTCCTGATTCTCTTCTTTCTCGGGTTCCGGTTGTTTATCCGCCATTTCTCTCGTCCCTTCCGAAAAGCCGTCCCTCTTCTCACCAGCAACCTGAGTCATTTGGGTTTGTTCTTCATTATTGCTTATATCCTGACTCACATTTTGTGAGGTTTTAAGAAGATTATTACAGACAGCTCTGAAGGCTTGTGATATTTCCCTTACCAGTAAGTTTTTAAACTGTTCTGCTGTGAGAGTTACAATTTCAGTGTCCGGATCCCATTCCTCGCTGCTCTTTCCCAACTCCATTTTAACGTTTCACGTTTCAACATGCAGGTTAACTTCTAAGTCTTTTAATCAAAGCCTGAATTGTCCTTCAACTTCAGACACACACTAGCTCAAACAGGACAGAATAGATTTTCCTTACCCCTTCCTTTTTTGCAACATGGCCGTTTTCTATAATATTGAAGTTGTTTGTTGGGGGCAGGGGTCTTGTTGTAGAAAAAGAGCTGCCGGAGCTCATTAGCATAACTCATTAGCATAACTTATTTGCATATGCCATGCCCCCTGACATCACCGGAAGTGACAGAAGGCCACACCCCCTGACATCACCGGAAGTGTGTCAGAAGGCCCGGCTACTTACCCTCCTGCTTCATCCTCATTCCCAAACGGAATGAGGATCGAAGCAGAGGGCGGGGTAAAGAAGGGGGCGGGGCTTCACCACGTGACCACCCCGCCCCCTAGAGGTTCTCTTCCGGAGCTCCGTACCTGAGAGCTCCCCCCCGACTAGAGCCCTGGTTGGGGGTATTATAATCCAGTGCTCTTCCAGGTAATCTCTTGATCTTTCAAATCCTTCTTTTTACGATGTAATAGTTCCAAGAAAAAACAAACAGCAGTTTAAAAAAACGGATGGTCAGGGCTGCGTGGAAAACATGGAGACCATGTTCCACCCCTCTCTTCGTCCCTGCTTCAAGGCACTATTGGACATCCCCCCGCGATGCCAAAGCGGGGAGGGGCCAACAAAAAGCCCCCTGCCGTCAGCTCTCCCTCCAGGAGATCTGGCGAGGCTCCCCGAGACCGGGAAGCACTCTAAAAGATGAAAAAGGATCGGGCGTCTCGGGAGCCACCTGAGAAACTGCCCGTTGCCCTTGCCGTACCGCCTGGCTTCCCCCTTTATACAGTTTCTATCTCTGGTAACAAGCAGTGTGTTTTATGGCACACATGGCCCAGCCCGACAATGGACATTAATGTCAGATCCGGCCCTCATTACAAATGAGCTTGACACCCCTGTTCTAATTCATCCGGCTTACTCAGTATTCCCACAGTGGCTTTAATTTTACTTGTATCACTCCTTCACGTGACACACATTATCTACCCTCCCCAAATAAATCAAATACAAACTGAAGCAATGCAGTAGTTTTATGCAGTAATGTTTAGGTTATTGGAAGAGTTAGAAACCCACTCTTATGAAAGTCATTAACATGTGCCTCCGCACAGGCTCGAATAACAGCATTCTGTAGAACAGAGAACAACCACCTGCACAGATTTCAGATGCTGTAGCCACTCTACTACCTTATCTTGTGTGTGTGCATGCACATGCATAAAGTGCCATGAAGTCACAGCCAATTTATGGCAACCCCATAGGGTTTCCCAGTAGTCATGTATGGCTGCGAGAGTTGGACTATAAGGAAGGCCGAGCGCCGAAGAATAGATTCTTTTGCACTATGGTGCTGGAGAAGACTCTTGAGAGTCCCTTGGACTGCAAGGAGATCAAATCAGTCAATCCTAAAAGAAATCAACCCTGACTGTTCCCTGGAAGGCCAGATAATGAAACTGAAGCTCAAATACTTTGGCCACCAAATGAGAAGGGAGCACTCCCTGGAGAAGACCCTGATGCTGGGAAAGATTGAAGGTCAAAGAAGACTGGGACGGCAAAGGATGAGATGGTTAGACAGTGTCATACATGCAACGAACATGAAATTGAGCAAACTTCAAAGGACGGCGGAAGACAGGAGGGCCTGGCGGGAGCTGGTCCATGGGGTCGCGAAGAGTCGGACCCGACTGTGCAACTGAACAACAACATAGGGTTTTCAAGGCAAGAAATGAAAAGAGGTGATTCGCCATTGCCTGGCTTTGCACAGCTACCCTGAACTTTGTTGGTGGTCTCCCAGCCAAGTACTAACCTGGCCTTGACCTTGCTTAACTTCTGAGATCTGATGACAGTGGGCTAGCCGGGGCCCTCCAGGTCAGGGCACATAATCTTAGCATATTGCATTTCCCTACTCCAGTCTGTGCGGCACTTGCTGCTTAACTTCTGTTCTTAACTAGTGTCCTGAATATTTATAGCCTCGCTTTTCTTAGACTGCATGATTGTTGTCAGTGAAGAAATGGGCCCCCCAGTCACACGGCAAAGTTGCCGCGGGAGAGGCACGGAAGGTGGGTGGATTATCCGGGCGCGATCACACCCCAACATCTGGGAAGTGGAGCGCACCCATGGCTTACCGCCGACAATGCACGTTAAAAAACGAGTACCTCCAAGATACTAGTAAACGTTTGCCACGGGCTGCCTCCAGACGCCCGTGGTGTGATCGCGCGGCATTCCCCTCGTTTACCCGCCGGTGCAGAGGGAAGGACCCGTGGTGTGCCGCTGGCGCGTCTGATCGCGTAATCACGAATCAAACTGCGCCGGGGCAATTAGCCACGCCTCCCCCCCGCGATATCCGGCATGTGTGACCGGGGCTGGCATGTTTTCCTGCAACGGTTTAATACACTGTTAACAGCGAACAGTGACATCTCTCTTTTGCTAAATGCAGTTCTTCAGCAAAGCTTGTCTGAAACACTTCCTCAGCCTTCATGTCCATGAAGGAGTTAGCTTTATTGGTTAAATAGTAATAATTAGTACCTTGATTCTGTACACATTGTATTTAATGAATCCAACTCAGTATGTTAATGAAAGTGCTACTGAGATGTTTATGTCCAAAAATACTTTTATATATTGAAGAAAATCAGAACACTTTCCTGGGAGTAAGACCCATTCACAGAGGAGAACATTGTAAACCACTTTGAGTCCCTTGGGAAAAAGGTGGGGAGTATAAACAATGTTAAATAAATACAATGTCACTTTCAAGAATAGATGCCTAGAACTATGTTCTTAGTTGCAGTCATAAGAGGTTCTTAAAGTTCTGCCAGTGACCTAAAATATCTAATTGATGAGAATGTTGAACTGGCACACAATGGTGAAACTCCCTTCTTGTGACAAAGATCTGGTTAAAAATATTTAGGTAACGTTAATATTATTAGGTAACAGTTATGATCAGTTAGTACAGTAATAGACAAGACTGCATAATCTGCACTTATTGGACTGAGAAACTGCATAGGTTATACAAATGAAGCATATATGCATAAGTGTACTTATTTTGCATACCTTATTTGCTCCACAGACAGAAGGAGCTAGGGAGATAGTTTCCCCAGCTTCCAGACTCCCAAGATTTCAGCCAGCCTTTCAAAGACTACCTTTGTATCCATGCAGACTATAAATGTGAGTTTAAAGACTTGATTCTCAGGGTGCAGCTCCTGACCTAACTATATACAGGAAGATACGTATGTGACTATTAAGTGCCATTGAGTCACTTCCAACTTATGGCGACCCTAACTTTCTATTAATTAAAGTAAAAAATCAATAATATAAATGATGCAGAGTTTATTTGTTTGACTGCTATCTGCAATTCATACTTCCCAGAATGCAAGGCAGCCCATCTAGCAACTGTCTGAGCTCACCTCTTTGCACGGTATGGGAGGATGGAGAGCCTGGATCACTTTGTATCAGAAGAATGTGTGTGTGTGGGGAGGGGGGGGTTACTGTTCACCAGTACTGCAGTCTGAATTTCCAGTATAAATAAGGGGGGATGGGACAGGGTTAAACCAATTTGCCAATTCAGTAGTGGAGCAAGTAGGGTAAGAAAATCCATTTTTATTCCAAAGGCAAAACTGATCACAGTGCTACTGGATACCATAGCAATTTCCACCGATTGACATTTTGGGGGGAAATATTCAAGGGAACTTGGGACGTCTGTGCAACCTGGACAAACAGGAACCCTATGTCTACCTGCACCGCTCATCAAAAAGATGATTGTATGAGCTGGCTTGTAATCATACCTCAGCTTGAGAAAAGTGTGTTGCATACAAAAGCCTTTTGATTCTGACAGTAGATTCCCCACCACCACCAAAAGCAGTGAAATGGATGATATCAGCGTGGTGACAAGTAATGTTCCCCCGCCCCCCCCTTTCCAGGACAATGTAAAAAGACCTTCCATGCAACACTGACAAATTGTGCAATCCAAGATAAAACATAACAAAACAAAATAGACTTTATTCAAATTAAGCATGTTTGTTAGCACCTCAGGATAACCAGGAAAATAGAACAGTCCAACAGAGAAACCAGTCCAGCCATCTAATCAACTGAACATGTTATTTAGTGCAGAATGATGGTAGAAAAGTACCACGACCGTCACAACACACACTTTCAGAACACTCTCAGCCAGCTACAATGCGCAGTCTTATTTACAAAGAGAGAAAACCAGTGTGCTGCCCAGTACCTCCGTGGCTGCAACAGAGCAAAACGAGAGCTACGTGACGGAAACATAACCTGTATCTCAGACGGTCTGGAGCAAATCTGTCTGTAACTGCCTTCCCCAGCTGCTAAATTTGGACAAAAGTTAGCTAGAAAATCCAAAAATAATTATTAAAATAACAATTGGCATTCTAGCAACTTAACAAGTGGATACAGTTGACAATGTTTTTCAAAGAACAGACCAATTCTTCAGTGGTTACAGCAGAGAATCCATGAAGTCCAACATAAGATTAAGGTTTATGTTCCATTACCATATCCCCCTGATCAAGCACAGAGTCAATCAACACAACAAGCCTTGGAGATAGAAAGAATTAAGACAGGTCTTATGATCTATATGTAACAAAAAGGGACAAAGGATACGTAAACTGCATAAGGAAATATATATTTAAATTATTAATTGGGGGGTGATGAATTAATCCCACCCAGGCCATGGGGATGGGGGAGTCTTTTGTTCTTTGCTGTCATGGTGGATGTTGAACAAATTTAAGCTTGCAGTTGTTAATTAAAATATTTTTGATATCTCAACAAAAGCCAAAAATAAAATAACTGGACAGGTGGCTATCTAGACACTCACCAATCCCAGCAAATCTCAGCTCCCACTAGAGATGTCTTTTTGTAATGCTCAAAACCCATGATGTCCAAACCATGTGATCTAATCCCCTCTTAGAGAAGTGTGAATTTTAGTTTAAAAGCAGAAAGGCAAATCAAGACTCCAGACAATCATTTTCATAGTTCTTCACTGTCTCAGTGAAAATTTAAAATCTGGGCAACATCTGCATAGTTGTGTGGAGTGAATACCATGGTGGACTGCTTGTATCAACCACTGCACTGAACACATTAAACAGAAGCTTCTATTTAATACTACGCAACGGAACAGCCAGAGAAGGGTCATTGCATTTTTTGATAATGCCAAGCCAGACTGTAGAACCGTCCCTTCTTTTACTCTGTCCCATCTTTAATGGGGGTAATGTCCACAGAAATGCAAGCCGAGTATTACCCATTCAGATGAGAAGAGTGCAAGCTCTGTCTTGCAAACACACTCAATTAATTCATGCTTACAGCATTTTAAAAAGTTTTCTGGGCCACAAAGCTGCTACTAAACTTTCGTGGATTTAGGGAGGATCTGCAACCGCCACTGGAAATTAACTTCATTCCTCTTCTGTTGTTAGCCAGATAACACTTCAGATCACTCTAAGTGAAAATTAAATATACCGTACAGCACTGGTTACACCAGAGTAGACTTAGGTATTTGCAGCACTGAAATAAGAAGCAATTGTTGAATGCTACGCAGGGCATGGAACTATCCAACTATGGCACAGCCACGATAATGCCTACAAGATGGGAAAAAGAAACAGAGTGGGAGAAAAACAGCAACTACAATTCAAAGATACCAACTACATACTCCAGTTGCCCTCTTAATTGTAAGAATGAAATTTGACACCAGAAATGACACAAGCTTTCTGCTGGGGGGGGAGGGGGAACCAATTGTCCACAATTTTCTATTTTTTTTTTTTGTCTGTCATAAAGAGGGGCAAACAGAATGCACCAATGACCATGGTTTCTAAGGCATCAGTCCATAAGATGTTGACTGTAGATTAATCCTGGTATAAATGCCATAAATACCATTGCAACTTCTGTTAAGAGTACTCCAGCGTACTTGGTTTACAGCCCAGGTGTGCTTCTCTAGGAAATCACTCTCTCTGTTTCCCTAAATGCAATCTGACAGCTGGTGGCATGATGTCATAGCTTTACTGGGTTGCTTGAAATGGACCAGTTTCATCAGCATCACTAAGAGTACCAGACCAGCTGCTTGTCTGACACCAATGCTCTGAACAGTTAAGCAATGCAAAGACTACAGCATCACTGGGGAACCAACAACCCAGATGCGACCCAGTTTAGTTCAAAAGAGCTGTGATTGTAGCTAAGTCTGGTTGGGCCGCTCTGGGGGGTGTGTGTGGAGAATGTTTAAGTCCAGTTCACTGTGGGCCTGCTCACATGCCAGCCTGGGCTTCCTTACAGAAGATGAATCATTGCCAGAGCATAGTCTAGAACTGGCATGGTGCCTGCCAGGCATCAGAGTTGTAACTTAAGGAGCAACGCCACACTGTGGCCGCACAAGTTGTCCTCACAACGGCCTCCTGGCCACAGAGCTTCTTTGGCCTGCCCTTGCTGTCGCAACCAATTCCAGATAAGTCTATATGTGCCCTGTCCTGCAGAGATGAGCAACTTGTTGAAGACCAGGAACCCAATCATGTGGCAAGTGTGCATTACGTGTGTGAGCGCGTGTTGGAAAGCGAGGGAAGTGTCAGGCACAGCCTCAGAGGCCGTGGCGCTTGCGAGCTCCCCCGATGCCGCTGGCGGCGTGCAGCAGGCGGTCCTTCTCGCGGATCTCCTCACGGAGCTGGGCCTCGGCCAGGCGCAGGCGCCGAATACTGCCCTTCATCTCCTTCATCTTCACCTCCAGCAGGGCGATGATGTCCCGCTGCTCGTTGAGCTTGCGCAGCAGCTCCTCCGAGGTGGTGCCCGAAGACAGCGAGTACGAGTGGTCTGGCGGGCCCCCGCCGTCCAGCAGGGGCCCGTTGCCGGCCAGCAGGGCCAACCGGACCGGGGTGCCGACTGCGGTGGCGGCACCAGCAGGACCCCCCAGCTCCACCTGCACGGTCAGGTCGATGGGCTTGACGTCCTCGGGTCCCCCTCCTCCTCCGGCTCGCGGCCCTTGCCCGCCCTGCTCGACGGCTCCCTCTTGCTGCAAGGTGAGCAGCACCGCGGGGGGCTGCTGGGCGGCGGCGGCGGCGGGGGGCTGCTGGAAGATGGTGGGCACGCGCACCAGGTAGGACTTGCGCCCGCCGGGGAAGTGTTCGGAGCAGACGCGGTGGCCGGTGGTGGGCTGGAAAGTGCTGAAGCAGCCGCTCACGCCGGCCCGCGACACGTTCTTCAGCCACAGGCGGCGCAGCTCCGCGTCCTTCGGGAAAGTGTAGAAATGGAGCGCCTTGTCCCGGTGCGAGTTGTTGTAGCAGCCCGGCACGCAGCACGTGAACCCGGGCATGGCGTGTGTGTGTGTCGTCCCCCCACCCCGCCCGCTACTCCGCCTTCTCCTCCCCCGGCGGTCCCGTGGCGGCCGGGACTACAGATCCCACAAGGCCTCCCGAGGCTGAGCGCGACAAGGGGGCAGCCCCGCTATCGCCGTCGCCGCTACTCCTGCCGCCGCCACCGCTGCGCCCCGCAGCCCCACAGGAAGCGGAACTACCCGCCCCACAAAGCATCGCGGCGCCGCGCACCGGAACTACGTTTCCCACAAGATCTAGCGCGGGGCGGGAGCGGGCCCCGCTTTCTCCACTGGATGCATAAGTTTAAAGAAAGTGGGAGGACAAAAGTTAAGACTCTCATCGAGCCAGGCAGCCCGCCTGAGGCTCTTTCTTTCCTCGCGGCCCTACACACGATCCTCCCGGTGTTTAAGGTTTCCCATAATCCATCTCTTTGTAGTCCTTTATTTTGCCTCTCCAACCGTTAAGGACTACTCGTACCATAATGCAGTGGGAAGCACGGAACTACGCTTCCCACAATGCCGTTTGCTCGGTAGTTCTACCCTCTTCGATGTTTCACCCGAAAGGGGGGCGAGATGTTTCCGTCTATGGTTGCTGTGGCAACCCTACTCCAGTGGCATCCCCCCCACACACTCACAGAGTTTAATATTTATTGCATTTTTTTATATTATTGCTACCCGTCTTGGGTCCTTATTTGTCAGGAGAAAGGCGGGTTTAACAATCTTTTAATTCAACAAACGTTGTATTAAAATTGTAGTTTAATAAAACACAGGAGTGAGGCCACTCGTACCTGAAAGATTAAGACTATAACAGATTTATTCCAGCATCAGCTCTCGTGAGTCAGCCATTAATACAGACCTTTTGGAATATGGTCAATACAGGCCTTTCTGTGGTAACTAGCATCCCTTCATGCATTGCCAGGGGGAACAATATTTCATCTTTATCTTCACAAAGGTCCCTGACTGATACTGGAAGGGAGCTGGTCGAGTCAGATGCATAATTCAGTTAAAAAAAAATGAGCTCTGACTCATGAAAGCTGATTCGGGAATAAAAATACTAATATTCTTTTAGATGCCTTTGGACACTTGTGTTATTTTGTTGTTAAAGACGGAGCAGTCCAAAGCGGGCCTTTTCAGAAGTAAGTGGCGTAAGCCCCATTTTACTGAATGGGTCTTACTCCCAGGAAAGTGTTCTGAGGATTGCAGCCTCACATGGCCCTTTTGGCAATCACAGAATCTCTTCCTCCGGCATTTTTTGGCTGCTGAATTGAAGCTGCCAAAACAAAGTCTGCTGGAGCTCAAAGCATTTGACTCATAGGATGTCTTAATGGTTGGAAAAAACAATATTTGAGTCCACCTTTAAGACTAACACAGTTTCATTCCGGGTATAAGCTTTCCTGTGCATACACACTTCTGCAGATATGTAATAGTTGGAAATAAAGGATACAACATCCATTATCTTTTAAGGAACCGTGATGCCCCTGACCTTAAAAGATGGCCTTAATAACTTTCTTCTTAAGCATCCTATGATTATTATAAAGCAAACTGGAGCCCTGTGCCATGTTAAAGACAATTCTAGAACAAGCGTTCAAGGAGGACAGCAATATTAAACACACTTGCCAGGGGGAAAGCCCTACTCAACTGCTTCTGGGGACTGGACTGTAAGATATTTGCATACTAAGTTTCATTTAGTTCAATAGGATGTGCTCCCTGAGGTAAATATGTATAGTATGCATAGAACTGCAGCCTTAAACCCAATTGGAGGTTGGTTGTAGCCTAATGAACATAGCTATAGTAATGTATAGTTTCCTATATGTTTAACCTTTTGACAGAAAGTACCCCAATAGCACATGGCTTTTGATTAGGTATGAGAGCAGGATTTCCCCAATGGAAACAGAAATGTTTTATCTGTCAACAACTTTCAGTATGCTTGGTAAACTGGATTCCTGCTTACATCCCACACTTCTGAACATAAAAATAGCTCTGCTGGATCAGGCAAATGATCCATCCAGTCCAGCATCCCATGTCTCAGAAGCAGATGCTATGGAAAGCCTCCAGTCAGGAGGACAAATCCTTCCCCTTTTGCTGCCTCCAAGCAACTGGTGTTCAAAGCTGTACTGCCTTTGAATATGGAGGTCCCATTTACCTACAATGGCTAATAGACTTCTCCATACATTTGTCAAATCCTCTTTTAAAGACACCTGAATGGCTAGCCATCAATACATCCTGAGATGATGTGTTCCACAGGCTAATTACAGGCTAGACAAATAAGTATTTCCTTTTGTCCATCCTGAATCTATTGCCCATGAACTTCATCAGGGGTCCTCGAGTTCTAGCATTCTGGATGAGGAAGACAGATATCTTTCTCCACACCACTAATATTTTGATAAACCTGATAGAACATAATGTGTGCCACAAACAACGGTATTACTTGAACATTCACTTACATTACAAAAAACTTCTACGGTCTTCTCATGACGTTTCTGTTCTTGATCCATCATTACTTGTGTTTTTCAGTTTCATAAGGTATTCATCTTGATCTCTCTTCTGTTCTTTTATCCTTAGACTCCTTTTGGTTTTACAGTTTCCAGATACTGGATGCCAAGGATTCTTTTCAAGTCTCCTGAGTCACTGAATCACTCCTGCACTATCAACAACTGTCATGGAATGTTCTAGAGTCACCATCATTATAACTTCTGAATCTGGAGCTACTGGCTCTCATACTTCCATGGTTGTAGTTCCTCAACGTTCTTAAATGAAGCCATATTGTCTTAGATCGGGCTTGAGCTGGCATTGGGCTCTGTGGATCAAACCCTCAATAAAGCACGTATGTGAATTTTGAGCAGGGCTCTGTGATCCACTGTCAAGAGTCTAACTTGAGCACATGAAGCTGCCTTCTGCTGAGTCAGACCATAGGCCTCTCAAGGTAAGTGTGGCCTGCTCTGACTGGCAGCGGCTCTCCCAGGGTCTTAGGTGGAGGTCTTTCATATCACCCGCATTTACACCTCGCTGGAAATGCTGGGGATTGAATCGGGACCTTCTGTGTGCAAACCAGATGCCCAACCACAGAGCCATGGCCCCTCCTCAGTGCTCCTCCACATTTCCTCAGAAGTAAGCCCCAGTGAGTTAAATGAGATTTATTCTCTAATGGTATGTGTAGTTAAAGGTGCACCTTTGATCGACAAAGCTGCTTGCAGGGAATATCCCAGCCCCTACTACTGAGCACCACAGAAGGGAAAGGTGGGAGCAGTTAGTGTAGGGAGACAGCAACAGAGCTGCCAGGGCCCTGGCCCGTAGCTACAGTGGGGCTATTGGGGGCTCTGCCCTCTTCCTTAAAGGGCCAGCCCCCTTCCTTAAAGGTCCCCCTGCTTCTTCCCAAAAGCATTTAAAGGGATCCTGTAATGTATTCAGATGCTGCCATGAGTACATTAGGATGTGTGTGAAACATCCCATTGGGAAGCAATGTTAAGCTTCGTCTTGGATAGAGGATTCTAGTCCAAGACTACATGACCAATCACATTCAAGCAAGCTGCAAGCGGGAACGTTTGTGATTGGACCTTATGCGATCAACCTGATAGGTTGTTATCTGTAAAGTAGGAGTGGCTATATTAGCCGGGAATGTTTAAATACTGAACAGCTACAATGGACAAGCTGTTTGGGCTATCAGATGTTGTACCGTGTTGGAGAACTGATCGTGAAGAGAATAAACTTGAGTCTTGGCTGAAATCACTCTCGGACTTTTTGTTAAGCTCCACAGCCCCCATAGGCCACCCCCTCCAAACCCAGTTCAAAACTCTGGAGATTACAATGTCTTTAGCGGATGCAACTGCAATGTCCTTAGATGAAATAGGGGCTTGGGCCAGTTCATCGATTGCTAACACCTCGTTAGCTGGAGCCGGGTCTGAGTCCTGGCCGGGCAGAGGGCAGCGACTCAGTGCGTCTGCATGTCCAATAGCCTTACCCGGCCAGTGTTCCAAGTCATAGTCATATGCAGACAAAAACAGAGCCCACCGTAGCATGCGGGCTGACATAATGTTGGGAAGTTGCCGGTCCGGGGCAAATATTACCAACAAGGGCTTGTGGTCCGTCACAAGCAGGAATCTGCGTCCATACAAGAAATCGTGGAATTTCTTAACGGCAGAGACAAGCGCCAGTCCTTCCTTGTCAATTTGCGCGTACCCCTTTTCAGCGCTTGACAAGGATTGCGAATAGTACGCAACGGGGGCTACATGACTGAGTACCGCCCCCACCCCAAAGGGAGACGCGTCTGCAGCCAATACCAACATTTTCTGGTCGTCGTAGTGCGTTAACACTGCATTTGAAACCAGTAACGCTTTGACCCTGTGACGACCTCTTATTTGGGGAGGTCTAGTTTTACTTTAAAATGTTCTTTCAGTTTTACTCTGTAGGGTATTCTGGCTGCCCCCCCGCTCTAATAGCAGGTACCCATTTTATCTACTTGCCCTTTAACGGGCTTTCGAACCGCTGGGTGGACGGGAGCTGGGACGTAGGGCCAGGAGCTCACCCTGACCGCGGTGGGGTTCGAACAGCTGAAGCTGTTTGTCCAGTTGTTAAAGCAGGCTTCCCTTACTGCCTGTGCCACCGCTCCCTTTTTCTTTCCTTCTGCTTAGCTATAAGGCAGGGCTGTCTCAAGTCATTTTGCTGCCCCAAGTGGGTAGAATGGGAGGACAGCCTCATGGTAACAGATATGGTTCTTTCCACCTCTGAGGTATTTTTTGAGGGGGAGGGGGGTGTTATGCAGTGGCAGCTAAGGTAGAAAAGGACCTCCTCCTGTGCCATGTTTTCTGAATAGAATCCACTGCCCAAAGCAGCCATTGTCTCCAGGAGAACTGATCTTGATCACCTGGACATCAGTTTTAATAGCTGGAATCTCCAGGTGCTGCCTGGAGGTTGGCTTATGTTAATTGGGGGCTATGTAGTCACAGCTAAGGTAGAAAAGCACCTCCTCCTGTGCCACATTTTCTGAGTTCCAAGGGTCTGGAAAGTGGTTCTATGGCCAATTACACGGTTGCCAACTCTGGGTTGGGAAATACCTGTAGATTTGAGGGGTAGAGCCTGGGGAGGGCAGGATTTTGGGTGGGGAGGGACCTCAGCAGGGTATAATGCCACAGAGTCCACTTGCAGCCATTGTCTCCAG